TCTAAATATGGTGGCTTTCTGTCTTCTTAACTCTGGGACAAACAATCCAGATGTCAGGTGATCAGATAGTGACTTGAACTGAACCTACTGGTCTCTGGCTTAATTTTTAACCAGCATGAATTATGCTGGCCCTGGATGGGGAGAGGAAGGAAGAGGAGGGGAACTTATACCTGTGGAAAATAGCCACCTGAGGACACTAGAACTTGCTGACCCAGGAGTCACCCCTAGGCAGTTTGCTGATTTGAGGCAGTGTCCGTATTTTAAGGTAGCAGCTATTTCAGCCAGGATTAAAATCAAATGAGATAACATATGTAAAGTACCATATTAATGAATCTTCTTTTCTCAGGCTCTCTTGTGGGTGTCTACCCTGGGTTGACTGATAGGAGTATAGGGAGTCAGCTCTCAGAAGGGAGGTACTATAGGAGCTGTCCTCTGCAGTCAAATCAACAAATATTTATTTAAGTGCCTACTATGTGCCTGGTCATAAAGGCAAAAAGTCTTTCCCTTCAAGGAGCTCACGTTCTAATGGGGGAGACAACATGCAAACAACTATGTACAAATCCGCTATAAACAGGAACATTGCAGGTAAATTTGCAGAGAAGACACTAACATTAAGAGGGACATGGAGAGGTTTCTTGCAGAAGTTGGAATTTTAGTTGAAACTTAGAAAAGCAAGGAGACAGACATGAAGGAAGAGCATTCCATGCATGGAGGAGAGCCAGTGAAAATGCATGGAGATGGGATGTCTTGAGGAACAGCAAGGAAGCTAGATCATAGAGCACATGGAGGAATTGTTGTTGGTGTTTGATTATTTCACTTGTGTTTGGATCTTTATGACCCTTTTTGGGGTTTGTTTGTTTTGTTTTTTTGGCAAAGATACTTGTTTGCCGTTTCCTTCTCCAGCTTGTTTTACAGATGAGGAAACTGAGGCAAACAATGTTAAGTGACTTGCTCAGGGTCACACAGCTAGTGAGAGTCCGAGGCCAGGTTTGAATTTAGAAAGATGAGTCTTCCTGACTCAAGGCCCAACACACTATCCAGTGTGCCACCTACCTGCCCTCCATGGAAGAAAATGAGGTATAAAAGCCAAACGAAAGATTTTACATTTGATCCTGGAGGTGATAGGAAGCCTTTGGAGTTTATTGAATTGGGGTGGGGAGTAGGGATGTTGTGGTCAGATCTACACTTTATAGGAAGATCAATATGATAGTTGACTGGAGAATAGACCAGAATAAGGGGAAAGATTTGATATAAGGGAGACCAACTAGAGAGCTATTGCAAGAAAGACACGTAATGGTAGATGACATGTAATTTCATTGAAGAAAAATAGTGATCCAGCTATAGGATCTACATGGACCAGGCGCTAAGGAAAGATGGCAGTGTGTGGGAACCTCTCTTTGCCATCAGCAAATTGGATATCTGGGTCTGAATATAGGAGTGAGGTTCTAGGAGGTTTACAGCCTTTGGGCTACAGATTCTAGATCATGTTTTGGGCTGGATGAGATTCAAGGAATAGGAAGCATAGCAAAGTGCTAGATTCTAGGAGGCCCCAATGCCTTCTGTCCCACCACAGCGTTGCTGAGTAGGATTATGGGAAGGAATATAAACAGCAGAGAACCTTAGTCAGAAAAACAAGAAATGAGACTTTGGGTGGCCATTTTTGTAAAGATGGCAGCTCTGGATGCTCTTTCTCACATTCTACTTGGTCTCTTTGCTTGGCTTTTACAAAGAGGGAAAATTAGGCTCAACAGATGAAAAGGTTTCTAAAATTTTACTAAAAGTCCCTGCACTGGAGGTCTCGAGTAAGACCTAGGTCTTGGTATTGAGGCAAAGACCCATCACTTTCCCAGGTGTATCATAGCGAACATTCTTGTTCAGGTGTATATGGGTTGGACTAGGTGGACTTCTGAGGTCCCTTACAATTCTGAGATTCTATTATTCTGCCCTTGCCCTATTCCTACTTTGTGGTTGTGATGTGTATGGGTGTTCTCCTATGCCAGCTACCTTGGACCCTTTTGAGATGAGACTCGGGCAGCTTTCACTGTCCCCAGTGACTGTGATTGGGAATAGAAATCTAGAATTCAGGCCATTTACCTTCTAGCAGCTGTTTGGGGAGAGATGAAATTTTCTTTTGGCTTCCAGTTTCCCCTGGTGTACCTTATCCACCTTCACACTCATCATCTCCCACACCTTTATTCTCTTCAGAGTCAGAATAGGTCGGTCATCTTTCACCTAGGCCATATGTGTCTTGTGTCTCTTTAATCCTGGTTGATAATCACTGTGGTTAATGCTTTTCTTTAGTGATTTGGATCTTCCCTGCTGACCTCAAGAGCATCTGCTGATCCAGGCTGGGCCTCTCTAAGGCGGAGGGCCCCCTGTGCCTGGGGAAATTCGGGGGGCCTGGACTCCAGGCTTCATTAGCACAGGAGCCAGGGACAGCTATTTGTTTTGTGTTACTCCTGGCTGATGTCTTCCCTGTTTGTGTATTGGCAGTCCCTGGGGGAAGAGGAGGAGGAGCAGGTACTTGGTACAGTGAAAAGAGCCCTGGCTTTTGAATATCAGAAGTCCTGTCTTTAGCCAGATGAATGACCTTGTTCTCTCAGCTTTATTCTGTAAAATTGCAGGATTATTATAAGATCAGATATTTTCTCATATACTCTCTGGGTCTGATAATCTATTCCTTCTGCAGATTCCCGGATTCTTCTCCTACCCCATTTCTGTAGAACACAAGCCAGATATGTTATGGTTCTAAACATGGTGGCAAGGCAGAGTCGGGTGAATAGGTTAAGGGAGGGAAGCTCTCTGCAAAGCCTCTGAGACATAGTCTGTGCCTTGGGGAAGACCTTGTTCAGAAAGGCTTCTTCCTGCTCCCAGCTGTGTGTCACTTTTGAAACTAATGGAAACAGAACAATATAGAACACCAAGTGCTCTTTAGACAATAGGAGACCAGAGGAAGAAGAGATAAGTGTGTGGAGTAGTGAGGGAAGGTCTCTCGAAAGAGGTTAAGGTTAAGTTAAGCCTTGAAGTACTAGTAGTATTTGGATAGGTGTCAAAAAAGGGGGACTGCATGGGCATTCTAAGTGGGAGGAATATTTTCAGTAAAGAGGAGAAAGATCATGGGGTGGAGAGAGACTAATCTGAAGACCCTTTTTGGGTGACAGTGAGCAGTGGTTTTTAAAAGAGGCGGGACCAGATTTTGAAAGACCTTGAATATCAATCTGAGGAGTCTGGACTTTATTTCAGCAGATGGGGAGGAGTCATCAAAGGTGTTTGAGTAAGGAGGAGGTGGGTGGTGACTCATTTTCTTCCTTATGGGGTTCTTCCCATTTGATAGATGAGGAAACTGAAACTTCAAGAGAAAAGTGAGTGGAAACTTTGGGTGAGTTAATACAGATCCAGGGTTAAAATCTAGGTCTCTCGATTCGCAGCCAGGACAGGCTAAGCTCTGGAAGGCAGCTTTTGTATGAGTAGGGAAAAATTGCCCCCAAAGAGATGGGAGCTCTTCGTCTCCTGGGCCCTAGCCCCATTTTCTTGGTAATGTCTGAATTACCTGAAGCTTTGGTTCAGGGATACTTAGCAGCCTAGGAGACACAGGGAACATGATGCCCTGCATTTTCCACCTGGGTAAAATTGAGACCAAGGGAGACAAGGGCCTCTTGGAGCCAGAGGTGGAGAATACTTGGGATTCTCCGCCTCAGGGATTCTGGATGTCCAGAAGAGAAAGTGTACACCCAAAACCCATGTCTGTCTTCTCTGGCCAAGCCTCAGAGCCTCAACAGTCAGCCAGAACTCAGGCTGTGCAGTATGTGAAAGGTAGGGAAGCCAGTTCTGGTAAATAAATGTTAGGAGTACTGGGAGCAGGCTAGCCTTTGTTTGTCTTCCTCATTCTTCCTCTATCTGTTTATTAATAACTCTGCTCTGGACAGGCTTTAGGAAGGAGAAGTTCCAGGGTCCTTGCCTCTAGTGGCTGATAGCTGGTCAAAATGGGCTCTACAGATTCCTTATCCTTGCCTAGCAGTGTGGCTAATTGTCCAGACTCCCTTACTCCTCCATAGGTGCATTCCCTGATTTGCTAAGGAGTAAATTTTGGCCTGCCACCAGATGGCACTGTAGTATTTAATTTTGGGGTATCTACCCTAAGTGAACCCTTCCTAAAGAGGGGCCTGGTTCTCCCACTTAGTCCCTCTGTGACTCTTTTCCCCCCAACCCCAGCCATCACTATGGTCGTATACACACACACTGACTCCCTTTATGGGAAGGAAGGGCTGGGTCTTCTGAACAATGAGCGGATATAATTTTGAGCCAACTTTTTGCTCCAGGAGAGGGGCCTAAATAGGAAGTAGATTTGAAAGTGGCCAGCTGGGCCCAGAGGTAGCATTCAGGCCTCCTGGGTTCCTACCTGATAGGCCAAAGATCTCTGGGTTCATATTTTTTACTTCAAGACAGGCAGAGCATCTGCTCTCTGCTTCCTCTGAGGGCCCCTCCTTTGGGTTAATTCCATACCATTGATCAGGTATCCAGGTGGCATTTTCCCCTGGCCCTTTTAGGAAAGAGGGCTGTGGCATGAATTCCCCCAAGCCTACTTCTCAGTGGTATTTTAGTCACCAAAGAGCTAGTATTTGATGGGGGGTGGGGTGGGAGTGGGAGTGGGTGGCACTTTAGGAAAAGACTTCCCCTATCTCTCAGCTTCTTGTCACATTTCCTTTTTTTTCTTTGGAACTTATAGGGCTAAGTACTTTGTGCCTAGGAAGGCCCTTGATACTTCTGGCAGAGTCCATGGGTTGGGGGGAAAGCAAGGATATTGGTCCCCAGAATGTCCCCTTTCTATTCTGCCTAACCTTGTTATCCTCTCTCCCCCTGAAAGGGTTCTTTGCCTCATTTGGCCACTAGAACCTATTGGACATGGAGCCTAGGCCCCACAGCTCATGGCTTTGGCAGACATGGCTGTGGGAGATGTCCCAGTTATCTCACCAATTCTGACTTCTTTGTTTCCTTCAAAGATGCTGCCTGCCCCCGAAGCTTGGACTGTACCCTGAGAAGGAGGGCCTTGTGCCCACCAGGTTCTGGTGCCTGTGGGCCCTGCCTCCGGCCCTTTGTGGAGGATGACCTTGGCCGCTGTATTCCCAAAAAACAGCTACCAAGAGGTACGTGGGATCTGGGGCGGGGGGTGTGGGAATGTGTGTGACTGGATTCCAGGGTTATAAGCCCAGCTTGGTGTGGCCTAGGTGGCAGGAATGGAAGAGGGGTTGAGTTGAGATGAATTGTCCGCCTTTCCTCACTATGAGCCGCAGGACTACTCCCAGCTATGTATGCACTTGCACAGATAAATACACAGAGACAACTCACATATGCACAGACAGACCTGTCTGGGGAACGTGTTGTTCTGGGTTGATTCTCCCCCTGACAGCTTACACATCCCTGGAGCTAGCACTGAGGATGCTGGGTGAGGACCATGTGGCTGCTTTGGGTGCCAGGAGAATGGGCTCTGCTGCTTATATCCCCTTTCCTGTCCTGTTCCTTTGTTGTGTTACTGGCCCCAGTTCTTGCTTAAGTGAAGTGGCTTCTGTGTGTTGGAGTCTGGAGCAGCGGTGTTGGTGTGTCTTGTATTTTTGCTGTTTTATCAACACCTCCATTAGGAAGTTGGAGAAAGAAATAATAGGGGGCCAGGCAGCAGAGGTGGAAGGGGCACAGGTGCGTGAGTATGTGGGTGCATCTCCTATCTGTTTGGTGTATGCAGTGGCCATGACTCAGCTCCTTAGACTGCCTGTCCTCAGTCTTCCTCAGCTTTTCCAAGTCAGGGAGTAAAAGAGTTTTTATTCCTGTTTTAAAGGTTGTTTAAAAACCTGGACTCTCATTCTCCAAAGCTTTTTATCACTGGTGCCTGCCTTCCCTCCCCCCTTCCTCTTGCTATTATCTCTGAAATATCCAGAAGCTATTTGCTTGGGGTAAGATCACATGTAGTTGTAATTAGGAGGGAGGAGAGGGCAGCTTTCTAACCAGCAGGAGTGCCAAGTGTCCCAAGGTAAAGGAAATGTTTCCGTGTATATGTTTGTGTGTACGTGTCTATTTATATGTCTGTGCACAGATGGTCTTGGGAATCTAGGCATCAATGGAGAGCTAGGCTTAGGAAAGAAAGGGTGGTTGGGGGGGGCGTGTTTGTCTCCAATACATCCTGGGGACTGGTGGCTTGGTACGAAGCCTCTGCTTTGGGAGTCTGTATCCTTGATCTTTTGAAGCTTGGGGCAGTGACAGTGATGGTGGTACTGGGTGTGGGAAGAAAGTTGGGGGGGGGGTCTAATACACAGTGGAAATTTTTGACCCTGTCTCCATAGCAATACCCTTTGAACTCATCACTGTGTCAGGGTTGGAGGGTATGGTGGGATAAAGGAAACATATAATAGGTAGCTGGGAGCCTGATCTCCTGAATTCTGTTTCCCAGGTTTCTTTTTTTGTTTGTTTGTTTGTTTTTATGTTTTGCTTCTTTCTCCTCTGCGCCTAGTTTCCCTGCCTGGGAATAAGGAAGAGTGGCTCAAGAGGATTCTCCTGGGGAGCTGGTAGTTTCCTTTTTTTTTTTTTTTTTGGTGATAGTGCTTCCCAGACTGTGTTCTGTGTGATGGGGATTCCATGAGAAATTATTGTTATTGATTGTAATTTTCCCTGTAAAATTATACATGAGGTTTTGTAGGTATACAAGAACACCTGTGGCAATTTTTCAGAATGGAAATAAGCTCAGTTTCTTCTATTTTTGCTTTAAAAATTTCCAGAACCATTCTCCCTTCTTTATTCTGGGAACATTCTAGATCTCCTGGAGTGATCCGTGATTCTGGGTTCTGTTGGTATATTTAAAGCTCAAGTGTATTTGGTGACCAAATTGCAAAACACTATAGATAATAAAGAGAGGAGAGGGCCTGGGGCAGTGGGGAGGAGGTCAATAATTGATGATCTAAAGCTTAATCTCTAAGCTTCTGCCTCAGTCACACAGTTATTCTCTACCCCCCACCTCCAATTAGTGGGTTTTTCCTAGGAGCAGTTCTCTGAGATGTTATTGCTCTGGTGGTCACCATGGCAACTCCAGAGCTGACTTCTAGAGCATAGGGAAAAAAGACCTGCCCTGGTACTTCCCTAAAGGTCTGGGGAATTATAAGGGTCCCGAGAAAATTCAGAAAATAAGGGTTGAGGGGCCATTTGCTCTCCTCTAAGCTAAGCCCAGACCCCAAAAGAAACACATCCACTTATCCTTTGTATTATAGGATAGCCTACCTGTCATCTTAGTGCTGGGGACACCAGGAGGCCACCCCAGATCTCTGGTGCACCCTGGGATGTGGCCATTGAGTAGAGACAGAAAGGGTGAATTGATCATCACTCCTGGTCGCTGTTCTCTTCAGTGTTAAAGAAAGGACCTAGGGGTTCCTTTTGCCTTCACACACACACACACACTCTCTCTCTCTCTCTCTCTCTCTCTCTCTCTCTCTCCTCTCTCTCTCTCTCTCTCTCACTCTCTCACTCTCACTTTCTCTCACCCTTTTGGAGCCTAAACCTAGCTCCAAAGGACGTCTCTAGGGTCCAGAGAACTGGTTTGGCCTGCTGGGATAGTCCTCTGTCTCCACTCATGTCTCCACATAAAATGGGGTTGTATTAAAATGATCTCTTAAAACCCTTCTAGCAGATGGGGTGCTAATGATGGGCCCCTAAAAGGCCCTGGACTTTCCCACATGGCCAGGTTTTGACTCCCAATTCTCAATGGCCTAGGAAGGATGTGGTTAGCAGCAAGAACCATGGGACCTTCTGTTCCAGACCACCTCACAGAACTCTTGAGAAAAGCATTTTATAAACTTTACAATAATATGTAAAAGAGTGGTAGCAATAGTAGTAGTAGTTGTTTGTATTACCACACTGGGAATAGAGTTGAAAACAGGGTTTGAATTCCCACATGGCCAGTAGTCAACTGAGTAAGTCACTTCACCTTTGAAACCTTAGTTTCCTCATCTGTCAAAAGAGGGCAGTGAAGGTGTCTCTCAGGCTTTAAAAGTGCTCTCTAAATGCAAATGGTCTTGTGGGTCAGCCTCTCTGTGTTCTTAGGGAAGGTGCCAACTGTGTACCAGGCATTATGCTGAGTGCTTTACAAATGTTATCTCATTATATCCTCACAACAACCCTGGGAGTTAGGTGCTATTATTCTCTCCCTTTTACAGCTGAAGAAACTGAGGTTAAGTGGCTTACCCAGAGTCGTACAGCTAGAAAGGTCTGAGACTGGATTTGAACTCAGGTCTTTTCTGGCTCCAGGCTCAGCACTCTATTTCTTATACTACCTAGCTCTTAGGACTCAGGGGTTCAGCTCTGTGTATCCCCACTATACCTCTGTCCCCATATTACCCCCTGACAAGCACAGCTTCTTCTCCTTTCCCTTTAGCAATAAATCTGTTGGCCTACAGGATAGAAAATTCAGGACCTCATCCCCTGGGGTCCACATGTCTGTCCATGCTTCAAGGCCTGAGATAGCAGGAGCTCTCACTAGTTAGTTTTATTAGTGAAATTATTGTTTGTTAATTAGAGGGTGGGGAGGGTGACACCAAACTCCTTAAGCAGGGAGCAAGACAGGAAACCATGGGGTATGCCCCCCCCCATACCTTCAGAGTGGGGGGTGTCACTTCCTGGCTTCAAGCCTTGGCTTAGGGGACAGCTTGGTGTCCTTCTTTTCTTTTACTGGGGAGGGCTGATATCTAGAGTCCTATCCTGAAAAGACTTCTAACAGAAAGCTCAGCTGTGGTCATATTATGGAAATTGTGGTACAGAAACCCTTGAGAACTGAGTGAACAGCAGGGGGCGGTGTTGACTCAATAAAACTGGCTCCTGAGTTGGAATTCCTGTGTTTTGGTCTCTGAACCTCTTTGTGCTCTGGGGACTTAGCTTGCCTCAGTTTCCTGCCCTCAAAATAAGGACAAATGAGTGAGGGAAAAGAAGATGGACGAATGAGTGTGGCCTCTCTGTCTGCCCCCACCCATCCATATGGTTTTCCCATCCTTTCAGGAAACCCCCAATGTTCATGGTTGTATACCTATAAATAAATTAGTAGGGCAGTGGGGTGGAGGGAGGGAGTATTCTTTCTTCCGATTGCCTTCTGATTTTCCCACTCCACCTCCATGGCCCAAGCTTGGGAACTCTATCATTCCCCTGTAAAATCTTCCTTTCCAGCTTCATCTGGGGCTAACCAGATCCCTTTCCCTCCTCCCTCCAAGGCTCCCCCAGCTATAAAGGGTGTTCTTGGAGGTGGGGAGTGACAGCTAGGCTTTTGTGGTGGCCTTTAAGCCTGTTGCAAGTATAGGTGTCACTGGAGGAGCTGAATTGGCTGATCTCTTACTGCTTAGCTCCCTTCCTTCCCTTTTCTCCTCACCAAATCCTCCCTGGCCTAGTGGGCAAGCTATCTGCCTGCCCTCTTAGGCCCCCCAAAGGGCACCATTGTGGACTCAGTATCTCCCCATACACACACAAATAACCAAAGTCTGAGTACTGGCTGGGCTTTGGCTTAAGGCACATTTTTGTAGCAACTGCTATTGATTGAATAAGATCTAGACTTTAAAGCTCTATATAAATGTTAACTATTGTTATTACTATGTAAATATACTGTAAACTCCCTAAATCCAAGTTTGGGGATGTTCTGTCTGAGGGATGGGGGAATGCTGAGGACCTCCCCAACCCCCAAGGAGGAGCTGCCCTCTTCCCCCACCCCCAAACCTAGTGTCCAGGGGGCTCTGGCAGAGTCTGACTGCCCTTCAACCCCCTCAGGTAAGATGCAGCCCTGGCCCAACCTGGAAGAAGAAATCGACTTACTGGCTAACATGCTGGCCCATCAAGACACTGTCCCCCACCGCCAGGATACTGTCCCCCAGCGCTTCCGCTGGCCTGGTGAGCTCCCCTGGACACATCCCTCCAACGACACCTTACCCCCCCAGTCCCAATGATTATCATGTCCTTCCCCAGTTCCCCTTTACTAACCCAAGGCCCCTTTGCCCCTGGTGACCCCCTGGCCAGACCTCTCCTCTTCCTCTTTAGCAGCCACCCTGGTGTCCCCAGGACAGGAGCCCGATACCCCATCCCCTCAGGGCGCTCAAGTTCCCACGATCACAGCCTCTCATTCATCTTCGAGGCCTGTGGAGATGTCACCTGTGGATCCCCCACACCCATCCAATGACGTCCTTGTTCTCAGTAGGTAGCGGTGGGCTTCCTAGGGTGGTGGGAGGCACCAAGGTGGGGGAGAAGGGAGGATTCAGCCCCCTCTTGATGGGAAGCAGTGTGGCATACTGGACAGAGGGAAGTCAGGAGAGACTTGGGTTCACATCTCTGCTTCAACACTCACTAGCTATTTGACTTTGCTGAGGCTCAGTTTCCTCACGTGTAATGCTTACACTCCTACCTCGTTGGACTGTTATGAGGAAAGCATTTTATAAACTTCAAACAACATAAATGTAAGTGGTTGTTGCTATTATTGTGGGCCCCTGTCCTTGTCTGCAGTGATGATCGTGGTCTGTGCAGTGGCTGGGCTCTCCGCACTGATTGTGGCTGTTATCTGCTGGTGCAGGTGAGACCCTGGTGAGACCCCCCACCTCCTATGGGCATGCACCATGGAGCTCTGTCAGTGAAAATGAGGCTGTCTTGAGAGCATGTGATGGCCTGTGTGTCTATACACAGGTGCATGCAATGGGTGCTGGAGCTTGGGGGGGGGGATGGGTAGTGTGGTCTGAATCTTGCAGGCTGTGGGGAGGGATAGTGGATAATTTAGATGTTACAGTCTTGCCGCCACCCCAACCAAGTCTCTCAACCATACTGCAGACTGAGTGAGACAGTTGGGGGTGTGGGGGCGCTGGGCCTGGGATCAGTGAGGCTATCTTCCTTTCAGGTTACAAAAGGAAATCCGCTTGGCTCAGAAAACAGACTACTCATCCAAGTCCCAGAAAGTATCCGGCTCCCCAGCCTTCGGCAGAAGCATGGTATGGGGGAGGGAGAGGCCTGGGAATGGGAAGAAGCTGTTGGCAATTGAGTCCCAGATTAGAGGTGGAGAGGTTTAAGGTTTAAGGCATTGGGCCTGATCTTCAGCCATTGCCTTCTAGGCCACATTGACCTTGACTTCCGTTACCTCTAGGCCAGGGACTCAAACTTTTGTGTCATGAACTCCTTTGATAGTCTGGTGAAAAGTATGGACCCCTTCTTAGAATAAGGTGTATTATTGTTTCTTTAATTTATAATTGAAGAAAAGGCTAAGTTTCAGTTAGAGGTTAATTAAAATAGAGATATCATTTTCTCCCTAAGTTCACACACAGACTCCCTGAAATCTTTCTAGGCCCCAGATTAAGAACCTTGCTCTATGAAGAAAATGGCATGTCTTATGGATTTAGTTTCTAGGGGACCTTAGAAATCAAGTACTATATTCCTTGCTCATTTGACAGCTAAGGTAACTGAGGCCCCCAGAGTTTTCAGGTCACACACCTAGTTAAGTGGCCGTCAGGATTCAAATCCAGGTTCCCTGGTCTAGACTTTTCAGGGAGTTTTTTTGAGGGGTGGGGATGGAATACTCTGGGCTCCTTCGATGCTCTTATGGCCCTCTGCCCACAGCCTGGGGACAAGAAGCTTGCCCAGAGTGCCCAGATGTATCACTACCAGCACCAGAAGCAGCAGATGCTGTCACTAGAGAAGTGAGTAGTGGATTTACCATGTGCCATGCAGTCAGCCCAGATATGGGGTGGGGGTGAGGGTGAGGAGACAGGACACTGCTCACCAGGCTCCCAAATAAGCTGCTTCCATGAGAGAGAAGCTCAGCCCCCAGAGCTCAAGTAGATGAGTGGAGCCTGATCCCCAATCTGAGCAAAAAACCCAAGACATCTGGCTCTCCCCTGCCAGATCAGTGATCTGATAAGTATCCTAGCCCTAATCAATAAATCAACAAGGGTTTATCATGTCTTATATGCCAAGGAAGAAAAGATAGAAGAAATAACCCAGACAACTACAATTTTGCCCACATTCCCTCCTCCCTCACCCAGTCCTCAGACTATTCATTTTAGAATCACTGAGGCTAGTCTTCAGATCAGCTGAGGAAAGATATGTATCCTTTCTCCCAGGTTGGGAGGATGGTGACCTTGACAGCTGGAGAGGTCAGGAGCCAGGACTGGCTTGGGGAGAAGATAAGCTCAGGTTTCAGTGAATTGAGGTGGAAAACTAATGAAATGATGAGGTGCGCTCTCCCCCCCCCCAACTCCAGTCCATTGAGTATCTTAATCTATGGCTCTTTCTATCCCTGCCTTTTTTCCCCTTCTCAGGCATAAAGAGCAGCCCAAAATTATGGACTCTGGGTCCTCTGAGGAAGAGAATGAGGATGGAGACTTCACTGTCTATGAGTGCCCTGGCTTGGCCCCTATGAATGCCTTGGTAGGGAACCCTTTCTTGGGAGTTGGGGTTGGATGGGAGGCAGGGGCACAAAGCAGCTAGTTGGGGGGGCAGTTTGTGAGGGGGCAGAGCCCTCTTTCCTATCTTGCAGTCTTTGGGAGAGCTACAGGTTTGTTCTTCCCTTCCCCCAATCCCTAGCCCTGAGGGAGGGAGAAGGGTCTTTTCTTATGGAAGTGGTCTTTACTGGCCCATTAAAAGGCCATTTATCACTTGTCTACCCCACCCCCACCCACCCCCCATTGCAGCACCGGGCTTGAGCTCCTCCTCACAACCATTTCCTCCCCCAGCAGGGTGCAAAGAAGTTTTTATCTCAACCCCTGAAGCCTCTGTTTCCTGTGGGACCCCCTTCTCATATAATATTTTGGGGATGCTCAGTCCTCTAGGGATTGGGGAGATCGTTGTTGGTTTTTTCTCACATCAGTCCTGAGTACCCTGTAAACCTCATATCCCCTCATGGTCAGTGAAATGGGAGTTTTCTAAGAATATATTCTAACTTAGCTCCTTCTGTAGTTGGGGGGAGAGGTTTGAGAGATCTGGGTCCTGACACCCCACTTTTTCCCTCCCCCCCAACCAGACTGGAGAGATGGAGGTGAAGAACCCGATGTTTGACGACTCTGCTCTGGTGGGCCCTAGCCCTCGAGCCACTGCTGGCTCTCGATCTGGATCTGGTCCCCGTGTCAGTTCAGGCTCCCGCACTGCTGGGTCCCGGACTGGCCCCCGCCCCAGCCCCGGGCGCCCTCGGCTGGTGGCCCCCAAATCTCACCAATGACCAGCCTACTGCCTTCTCCTGGCCAGTGACTCCAGCCTGGGAAAGGGAGCTCTGAAGGGGCTGGGGATGGCCAGGGGTGGGGGGGGTGCTAATATTAGGATGTTTCCCCCTATTAAGAAAAAAAAAAAGCTCTGAAATCCCAAGTTTTGCTGTTTGCAGTGAGTGCTGGCTTCCCCCCCCCCCAGTTTGGTCTCACTGTCCCCTTCCAATGTTGGGAAGGAGATGAGAAGGGGGGCAAGTAAGTCATGAGCTCCCCTCGCCATCCTCCCAGAAGGAAGGGGGTCTGTCTGTCCCTTCCCCCAATCCCTTTTCCCTCCAACCTTTTGGGGCTGGGATTTCTCCAAAAGGGGATAGGGGAAGCAGCTTTGTAATATGCCCCTCACCCAGCCCAGGCCTCCCTATAGCCAGGGCCCTGGCCATGCTGGGAACACAGAACTTGGTGACAGATCTTAGTCTCCAGGTGCCTTCCCCCAGAGCCCCTGGGAGGGGGGATGAGGCCATTTACCCCTCCCCCCTCCCAGTGGCAGAGCCCCAAATATTTTCTTGGCCCTGCAAACCTGGTATGTGGGCCCTAGTCATTCTGCCCTCTCAGTTTTCTTCTCCCAATCCCCACCAAAGTGATTCTAGCTCAGGATCCAAAACTGGATGAGGTGGGCATTGGTGCCAGGTCCTGGGGCAGGCACCTGGGAGGTTCTCAATCCTCCAGGTCTGTCTTCTCTCCTCTGTGCCTGCGTCTTTCCCTCTCCCTGTGCCTGTGTCCTCTCCTTGTCTGTGCCTGCATCCTGTCCAGTCCATTCTTGCACCTGGTTCTTACTGTGAGATCTCCTTTTCCCCTCCTCTGCTTGTGGCCGGGATTGTATCCACATTCGTTTTGAAACATTCAATTTTATTAAAAACAATATTTCAAACCAGCTGGGGGGGGCTTCTTTGGTTGTGTGTCGGGTACTCTAGGGGTCCTGTGAGATTGTCTTGTGTCTGAGGAGGATGGATTTGGAATCTGGTCTATGGAGTAGAAAGCAGTCTGAGCTGTGGGAGACCAAGTCTGGATGCTTTGAGTCTTGAATCTCTGGGCCCTTGTCTCTAATTGGAATATTTCTTGTCAGGTCTGTGGTCTCACTTTGTTGACTTTGGCCTGTGTCTATGGTCTATTTTGGGGTCTTTGGGAATATGGTTTTGTAGGGTGTTGGAGTCTGTGATTGGGGGGGGAGAAGTGTGTTTCTGTGTGATCTTTTGTCTTGTGTAAGATTTGGGGAGTCTGTCTAAGTTCTTGGGGTTTGAATGGGGGGGTTGCTGCTTTGTGATCTTAAGAGGTTTTAAGATCTCTTAGTAGACTTGGGACGTTTTTAGGCTAGGCTTCTGGGGACTTGAGCCTTGTCCTTTTGGGTGGACTGGCCCTGGGGGTAGGAGGGGGGAATGGGATAGTTATCATGCTAATGGCCTCACTGGGGGACGAGGGGAAGTCCTGTAGCCTGGCTGCCTTGAAGTGCAGCCTAGGATTAACCCCTCCCCCCCAGGGGTGGGCTGGTAGCCCTGAAATGGTCTAGAGGGGAGTTGGGGGAAAGTGAACTGACTGTTCCCTGAAACCTGTTCACCACCCACCCAAGGTAGTGACCTTGGTGAAGGGAAGAAGAGTTAAAACCTTTTTTTTTCCCTTTCCTCTTTTGCAGCCAGAAGTAGGTGACCTTAGGACCCATAACATGGAATGTTGGCAACTGGCCTGAATCCCTAGACAGTGCCCAACAGGCAGCTAACAACAGGACAAAGCCGGCTGGCTCTGAGATTGGGGAGGTAGGGTATGTTTGGAGGAAGCAGGATTTAACTTGGCCTCCTCCAGATATGAAAGACAGTCCCTAGGCTGGAGGAGGTGGGGATGAAAGAGGGCTCCCTAGGGTTTGTGAAAGAGCTGGTGGGGGTAGTGGGGAGTTGAGAGCCTGCCTTCAAAGGCCTAAGCTTACAGTGTCAGGGATTGAAAGGAGAGGCTTCCAGTTTTCTGATGGGACTTGAGGTGGGGCTGCTTCCTAAAAGAGCTCCTTGTAGCCCTGCCCCTTCCCCCAGCCTCACCTAGGGCTATGATCTCTCCCCCTAAGGCAGATGCTTTTAAAAACTGTGTCGGTGTGGTCCACCAGGGTTCTAATGGCTTCTGCTCTGACCTGGAGCCCTGGGGTGGTTGGGGGAGGGCACAGGTCCCATGGAGCCTGAAGTACTCTTAGGGGAGGGTGCCAGACCAGGTAGCCAGGGATTGGTTTGGAAAGCCTTGAGCATCAGGCATGAACATTGATTCAGTATTTCTCAACTGCCTCACAATCCAATTTGAGAGATAAGACTCCCATCACAATACGGGACTGTGTGAGAGAGGCTTACATTTATGTAGTGCTTTAATATTTACAAAACACTTTCACATTTTCCCATTAAAACCCTATGAGGCGGATAGTGCAAGTGTTGTCTCTCCATTGAAGAAACAAAGAGGCTCAGACAGGTAAATGACTTTCTTCCTAAGGTCACATGGCTAGTAACTCAAAGCTAGGTCTCCTGACCCCTTGATGCAGTCAGATTTCCACTACATCAAACTGCCTTCCTCTCAGGGGTGGAGGTGGGAAAGTGTAAGAGGAGATCAAGGTGGGGGATCAGTGTGAACCTGGGTGGTCAAGAATGCCTGCTGAATGAGATAGGACCTCGGCTGGATCTTGGAAGACGGGAATGAATTTGATAGAATGAGATTGGGAAGTGGAGGACTTTCCAGGAGAGGAAACAATCAGCTGAGGCTCAGCAAAGGCAAAGTGTTTATAAGCTCCTGGAGGGCAGTATCTCCAGTTCCTAGCCCAATTCCTTGCACTTAGCATCACTTAATAAATGCTTGTTGAACTGGATCTCAAATGGCATGGCACCTCTTACCATACTTTTTCTGTATTTTGATTTACAGTTAGGTGCGTATGGGTTATAACCTGCTTTAGTAGGCTTCTGACTAGGCAGCCTGTCTTATTTAAACTTGCTAGAGTTCTGCGCCCAGCTAGGCTTTTAATAATTTTCATTGAATTAAGTCACTTTAGAGACAGTGAATAGATTAGTTTGGCTGGGCACCTGGCTGGTATAGGAAAGCAGTGAGAAATCGGGCCAATTCCCGGGAGACCTTGAATGCTGGACTGAGGATTCTGGTGATGGTTGTGGAGCCATTGCCATTTTCTAAGAAGGGGAAATGATATAATCAAAGCTATGCTTGAGGAGGATTAATCTGGCACCCCAGTGTAGGGAAGATTGAAAGAGAAGGCCTCTTTAGGAAGCTTGCCTCAGGATGTCTATTGAGATTTGTTGAAGTTAGAGACAAGTGATTAGATGGAGGGGAGCAAAGGAAGAAGAAGGCTCGAAGATAACTGGCTTTGAATATAGATAAAGTCAGGTGGCTTGGGTTTTTGGGGGTGGTAGGGGAGATGAGGGAGGTGGGTTTGGGACATCTTGACTTTGAGTAGAGGTAGTCATCCTGTGGACTTGTCTAGCAGATATGTGGAGATGCTGCCGTGAATTGTGGGGAAAAAAGCTAGGCCTGCAGAGATGGTCCTAAAGGACAAGATATTTATTATGCAAGAAGATCCTGGGTTTTATGGTCCCTAGGAAAGTACCCAAGGATCTCTTGGGGCCCACAGATTTTGTGTCTGTGTCTTCCTCCACCCCAGGTTAATGATTCTAAGATTTAAAGGAACTTTATCAGCTTCCGTGTCTGGCCTCTGGCTGGAGAGATTCTGGGAGGTGGCAAGCCCCACCTAGTCCTCCCTGAGGGAGAGGGAGGTATCTGTTCTGATCTGCCCCTCCCTTTAGCCACCTCACCTTCCCTCCCATTCTCTGTCCCTTAATAATAACTTCCCCATGACCTTGTGACGTCCCTTGCCTTCTTTTAGTGCCTCAATCTCCCATCTTGGCAGGAAGATAGAAAGGGAAAGGGGGAGAGGGACCTTCTTGATCAAGGAACAGTCGTCATTAGGTGGTGAGGTTTTAGTTCTAATCAGGATGGGGAAGGATTATAAGAAAGGTCAGGCTGATTGTGTAGGGTGTTTGTGTCGGCTGTATCTGCATGTACCTTTCTGTCAGCTTGTGCATGTGGGTTTCCATGAATCGATGGGTCAGTGCCCGTGTATGTGAATGTGTGCTTTGCTCTGTGTCATATGCATGTGTTTTTGTGTGTGGGTCTGTCTGGTGGTGTCTGTCTTTGTGTGTTCAATCCCCAAGTGTTTAGTGGGCCTTTAGCACACATGTCATTTTACCACAGATCCCCAAAGAGGCCCTGGGGTTCTTTTGGTTTGGGGGTTTTTTTGGGTTTTTTTTTTCCAGGAAAAGTGGTCTTGAGTTCTCCTCAATTCCCAGGTCAGCCCCCCAGCTACTCAGGGCCATTAGACAAATTGTTATTTGCATTCACGAGTGTGGCAGGGAAAGGCCAGGAACGGCCCCAGCAATTGTCCCTGACTGGCACTCAGGCCTTTATGGTGGGGCTCCTGGAGCCTGCATTTTTAGGAGCTCTGAATCCCTAGGGGAGGCCCAATAAGGCTCTAAATACCAGTAAATAATGCCTCCTCCTTGCCTCCCACCAGTGCAGAGGTTGGGTGGGAGAAGGGGGTGGGGTTGGAGGTGGAGTTAAAAGCAAGTAAGTCCCCCACCCAATGAACCTCTACCCCTGCCCCAGCCAAAGGATACCCAAGTTCATTCTCAGCCCCCCCCCCACCATTGTTTTAAAGGGCCAATAGCTGGGATGCTATTAACATAATGATTGAAAGCTCTAGGGCCCTGGGTGGGAGGGGAGGGGTCAGGCTTGTCCCCCAGCACTAGCAGCGACTACAGAGTCTCCTCTTCAAAGTCTGAGGGGGCCTTGCCCCCACGGTGCACTCTGAGATCCAAGTGCCTGCACTTCCAGTCCAGTCCAGTCCGTCGATCAAGCACCAGTAGCTGCGGCTCTACATCTGTGTCCAGGACCGAGACGAAGAGGCAAAGAAGCCGTCCCATCAGAGAGGGAAGCTCTGGGTCCTACCTTCGGCTACAGCCAGCCGAGTCAAGCTGGGCATGTTTAACCACGAGGGGCTACCTCCAGGCAGCTTCAGCCTGGGCCAGGGCATGACGCCCGATGGGCCCTCCCACTACGGTAAAGGTGGCTACGTCGGGGGAAGCGCTCCCAGACCATCCCAGCCCCAGCCGCCGGCCCAGACCTTCTTTACCTTCCCTTCAGCAGTGAAGAGTGAGTACAGCTTGGAGGGACCCTCGACCCCTGACTCCAGCCAGACCAAGGGGTGGTATGCCTTCTCAGCACCCCCACCCCCAGCTGAAGCCGGGCAGGTCAGTGCCTCCCACAACCTTCACCTCATGCCACCCAAAGAGGAAGACTCATCCTGCTCTTCCCCTTCCTCATCATCCTCTGGGGCTCCTGAGCGGGACCTCAGGGAGACCATCGTTCCCGAAGCTAAGTACTGCGCCCATCCGGGCCCAGCCTACTACGCGCCTGCCTGGACGGGGCCCTTCTGGCCGGGCCTGGGTAGTAGTGGCTCAGTTCCCACTGGGGCTCTGCCAGGTCCCCCTCTCCCTCCTCACCCTCTCCAGGCTCTGGGGACCTTTCCGGGCCCCAGGCCCCTTTACCCAGCCCCTCTCCAGCAGCCCCAGCCAGGGCTGGGCAGCAGCAGCAGCAGCAGCAGCAGCATTGTTAGCAGCAGTAATGTCAGTAGCAGCGTCAGCAGCACCAGCGGTTCAAGCGGGGCAGCCAGTGAGGAGGGCATCCCATCTAGCGACAGCGGAGAGGAGGTAAGAAAACATAGTATATTTCCAATATGGATTTCTCCACTGGCTTCAGCTGAGCTGGGCGGGAAATCCAGATCCAGAGTCGCCTAGGCTTATTTTGCCTAAGGCCTTGTCCCAGAAAGGGACAGAAAGGAGAAGGGAGGGATTCTGGGCCGCGTAAGCTTGCAGGATAACCTGTGGCGATACTATCTCCCTTCAGGGTTGAGTCTCTTACTGGGGAAGGGGAAACATCTGGGAGCATCAGATTCTGGAGCCTTACACAGCCCTGTAGAAATAGCAGAGTCCACCATCCCCTAGACTTAAGATCCTATCTACCTGGCCCCTCCCCCCCAGCCATAGTATGGTTTTAGAAAGCTAGACTGGATTTTCCTTCCCAGGTCACCCAGGCCAGAAAATCCCCAACTCCCCTGTTATAATTGTCACTGGGGATTTTCCCCAACTTTGTGGGGATCCCAATCTATGTAATGCCAGATCCGCTGAGTTGGTCCATCAGAGGTGCGGGGTCTTTTGGTTTATTTTCTACTTTGTTAGCTCTGGAAGTAAACTGGGCCCCCCTCTGGGATCTATAGACTCCAACATTGGGCCTCTTGGCCTTCCTTCCAGACAAGAGACTGGTCTTTTGTCTCCTCATAGAACCACCTTCAGCCCCTCAGTCATTTTTCTTGTACTTGGACCCAGAGTATGTCGGTCTTAGTGCTTAGGGTGATCTGTATTCGAACTTCTGTGTGCACATCCATGTAGTTTAGTGCAAACAAAGGGGGGTAAAAATTTTTCCTTTCTGTTGCCACAGCCTTCCTAATGTTGGTTGGGATTTTGTTGGTATTGTGAAAACTGGCAGAGGATATGGGTGTAGAATGTTCTAGCTAGTCTCTTTGCCCTGATTACTAACCATCTGACCTTGGGCAAATCATTTCACTTCTGTTTCTTCACGAAGTAGTGGAAGTCTGAATGAATGAAATAGTCCTTTTGGTTTTCAGATTCTGTAAAATAATCACTGTTTGTAACTCTGGAATGTACATTTTGGACCAAGGGTTCCCCAGTTTGGACCCTTAATTCCTTTAAAAACTCTGTGATCTGTGGAGATTTTTGTCCTGAAGTTTGAGGCTTCTTCCTAGCCCTGAAATGTGTGGGGGAGGGAGAAGAACACTCCAGGCCTCGTTAAGTCTCCTGGGCCATTTGACCAGGATCCTTTCACTTAAGCTATCAAGTGAGTTCCTCAGACTTCATCCATTCCTCACCCTCTGCAGGACACCCCAACCTCCGAGGAACTGGAGCTGTTTGCCAAAGAACTGAAACACAAGCGAATTTCCCTGGGTTTCACTCAGGCTGATGTGGGCATGGCCTTGGGCACACTGTATGGTGAGAAGTGGACAACGGTGATGGGGTTGGGGGGCAGGGATGAAGGTTATGATTAACAGAGGTATAGAGGTAGCTGTTGTAATCCTGGAGCAAGTGAGAATAAGATGATAGGGATTCCCGAGTCCCCCTGATTAACATCCCTAAGGTCAAAGAGGAGTCAAAGGGTTGGGTTTAGGTTTTGTCTCCTGGTCACTCCTCTCTCCAGTCCCATTGATTTTCCCCAAGCCATCCTGGTAGGAACTGAAGGGAGGAAACAGTGGCCCTGGTCTTTGGGAGATGAGGATGGGAACCTTAGAGGGCAGTGACCCCCATTTCCGGAGCCCAGAGTTGAGCACCCACCTTTGCCCTCAGGGAAGATGTTCAGTCAGACAACCATCTGCCGGTTTGAAGCTCTGCAACTGAGCTTTAAGAATATGTGCAAATTGAAACCACTACTTCAGAGGTGGCTGCAAGCCGTTGAGAACACGGACAACCCTCAGGAGGTAAGATGTCCCCCACCTCACCCCACTCCCCCATACCTGATAGATGCTTCTCGGGAAGCAGCCTCCTCACAGCTGGTTTGGATGGAACAGTCGCCATATGTGGAGTGGAGACATCTAGATTGAGTGGGGGGAAGGAAGGGGAAGGAACTGGGCTTTCAAAGCCCAGGCTGCTCTTTCCCCCACCCCAGGCTCTAGCTGTGCCCTGTCCCCCCAGATGTGCAGTATGGAACAAGTGCTAGCCCAGGCCCGAAAGCGTAAACGTCGTACAAGTATTGAGACCAGTGTGAAGGGGACCCTAGAGGGCTTCTTCAGGCGTTGTGGGAAGCCCACTCCACAGCAAATCTGTGACTTGGCAGAAGAGCTGCACCTGGACAAAGATGTGCGTGGTCCCCTGGGCACGGGCAGGTTATGGGCTGGGCTGGGGTGGAGGCTGGACAGTAGACAGCAACGAGGGGGGCAGTGTTACAGTATTCAGGGATAGCAGACCTGGATGGAGACCAAAGGGCCTGACCTGAGTCCCCTCTCTGACCCTCCTAGGTGGTTCGAGTCTGGTTCTGTAACCGAAGGCAGAAGGGTAAGCGGCTTCTTCTGCCCTATGGGGAAGATGGAGAAGCATTGCCTTATGAGCTGGCCCCAGGCACTGCCCTTGTCTTGCCAACGGCTGCTGTACCCCAGAACTATGCAGCACCCCCGCCACCTGTGCCCCCTGCCCTCTATATGTCTACCTTTCCTAAGGGTGAGCCCTGCCTCCCAGGCATGCCCATGCCTAATGGGGGCATCTGAGCCAGGATCAGCATTATAGGAACTAGGGGCTCAGGATGCCTCTTGCTTCCCCCCTCCTTCACTTGCCCTATCCTGTTGACTGGCCATTGTCTGAGATACAATGGTCAGGCCTTTTCCTAACCCTAGATTCTCTTTCTGCCCCTCCATTGCCCGTATCTAGGTTTTTTTGGGCATCTGAAAAACTATTCAGGTCTTTGTTTCTCCCCCGTCTTTCACCTCACACTCCCAAACTTGTGATGGGTTTGGGAGGCAGTTTGGAAATAAAAGTTGGGTGGTAACTGACTGGATTGGTCTTTGCAACTAATTTGGGATGGGGACTTGTGGGGAATAAACAATTTGGGGTAGGGGATGGGGCTGGCTGGTGAGTCTGCCTGACTAAGCTGGGTTCCCACCCAGCAGACAAGGGTCCTCATGTGACTCTGGAGCTATGTGTTATCCCCAGTGGCCTTGGAGGTAGTGAGTGCTTCTTTATCGCCTGCCTGCGCGCGTTTGCCCTGAGTTCCACCAGGGGGCAATCTCTTCCATTCAATCCTGTTTATGCCTTACTGATTTTTGTATGCATTTATACTGTCAAAATGAGGGGTGGTAATGGGGGTGATAAAACTGATTTTCCAAGCGAGAGGAAAGACCATCCCTCCTTGGCTAGCCTGACCTCTTTCTGGGGCTCCTCTACCCTTGGTTCACACCCTGCAGCTCCTCCAAGGTTTTGTGTCTTCCATACCAATCTCTAGCTCTCCAGCCTTCTTGAGCCTTGATTTCATGCAGCTGTTTTCCTCCCTTATTAGAGGCACTCTGCATCATCTGGGGGTGCTTACATTTGTATCAGACTACATGTCCCCATCCTTCATTCCCCAAGGCCTGATGTTTGTGCCTCTTCGGAGGGATTGACTATCCTGGAGAGATGTCTTGGGGTGGGGTTGGGGGGCATCTCTCTGAATGACTGATATTCTGATGGTACTCTGCGAGCAGCCTTCAGGACTTTGAGACTGGAGTCTGAGATTGCATTGGGAACTCAGAGACAGCAGAGACCTTTTGCCTTTCTTTGGCTCCCCCATGCTCATCAAAGTGCCTGGCACATAGTAGGCTAGGCTCTTAATAAATGCTTATTAACAGATTGAGAGGTGGCACTCTTTTTCTCAACTCTTGCCCTGCAAGGATGTGGGGAATAGGCTTAATAGATGAGCACAGCAGCCAGTCTAAAAAGTAGATGACCTTTGTGGTCTGCCTTGCCTTACTCTTTTGACTCAATCTCCTCCCCTAATTCCCTGTTTCTGACATTGTTTCATGCTGACCCATTTTAGAACCACATACCATTTACCCCAAAGTCTCAATTTTCCGCTGTGACTATTCTGTTCCTGTATAGAGGGGCAAATATTCAAGTCTAACCTCTATCTGCAGAAGTCCTTCTAGTAATTACCAAAGTTACAGATCTTCCCAGTTCTGGGAGCATCCATAGTACTTGAATTTGGAGCAAAGGTCAAGTCAGTCGGTCCTGAGTTAAAGATGAAGGGGAAAAAAACTTAATTTTCTCTCCTACCCCAGAACGAGACAAAAATGGGGTAAATTCACAAAGGATAGAGAAATGTGAGCTCCAGAAATGCATCCTTGCTCCCACAACTCTGTGTGTGTGTGTGTGTGTGTGTGTGTGTGTGTGTGTGTGTGTGTGTAATCAAAGGGAAAAGCTATAAAGGAGAAGAGTGAGCATTTATTAAGTGACCTCTGTGCTAAGTGTTTCACAAATATCATTTGATTCTCACAACAACCTTGTGATGTAGATGTTATCCCTCTCACAGTTGAGGAAACTGAGGCAGACAGGTTAAGTCAATATCTGAGATCAGATTCAAACTCTGGACTTTCCTGACTCCAAGCCTGGCACTCATGTATTTTACTACCTAGCTGCCTAAGGGGGGGGCTCCATCCCTAGCTTTCAGGGGCTTGTCTTCTCTGCTGCTGACCCCCTTCACTATTCTAGAAGCTCCTCAAGCCAAAACCTGGGTCTGTAGTTTCCCTTTCTGTGCCAAGTCCTGATTCTGTATTCAGGGGCCCCTCAGGAAATGTTTGCTGACTGATCCCCAAAAGGCGTGCCAGGGGAAGAGGCCAGTCTGTGGGTATAGGGTGGGGCCTGCGGGAAGCACCCTATGCCTGGTTGGCAGCACAAACAGGAAGAATACCAGGTCTAGTAGCAAGAAGCAAGGTCCCCAGTGGGCCAAAGACAACACAAGATAGGTTAAGGTTTGGGTTTTTTTTTCCCTGCTTGCTACAGGAGAACCACCATACCCATCCTGTAAAAGGAAACACAGGAGCCTCCTAATTGGCCTCCCTGCCTCTGGTCTTTTTTCTCTAATCCATCTTTCACACAGCTACCAAAGTGACTTTCCTAACTGGCCAGGGCATTCCTTAGCTTAATAAATTCCAATGGTTCCCAATGTTCATAATATCTTGGCACAAATACCAACTTCCCTGGCATTTTATAAATGTTCACAGTCTGGCCCCCACTTACTTTTCCACTGTATTCAATGAGCTAGCCAGACTTTTCTACTCTCACATCTCAGGTGCCTTTGTATTAACTGACCCCTTCCCCTGCCTAAAATGCGTTCCTATTTTACCTCAGCCTCTTAGAATTCCTAGTTCCCTTCAAAGCTCAGCTCAATTATAATCTACAGGAGGGTTTTATTTTATTTTTTTTAAACTAATCTCCCCCACTGACAGCTAGTGACTTCTCTGGTGAAATTACCTTGTAGTTCTTTTATATACATGTATCCCAACTGAATATAACCTTGAGGGAGGGACTGCATCCTTTCCGTCTATGTAACCCTAGTGCCAGGCACATAGTAAGCACTTAGTAAATGCTTGCTGCTTAGGGGCTTAGCATGTTTAAAGAGACAGGATGCTCCCTTTGCAGTAACAGCACCCCAGTTCTTATGCTTTGTGTTCCTTCTTTGGAGCTGAATTCTCCTGTTTTAGACCTGAAAACAGATCCCATACCAGGTACTGGGCATTTAGAGGTACCTCTTAGGCCTTGTGGGATCTGCCCTGAAGGAGCTCTGGCAAAGTGTTGCTAGCCTGCGATGGAATAGTCCACAATAACTCTTTCTCTCAAGGTTTGCCTCCAGGCATCTGATTTTTGTTCTCTATTATTTCCTTCAGCTTCCTGAATTTTTTTTTGGCAACATTTCTCTTACTTCCTGCCTAAGAGATGAAGTTACTTGGATTTACCTTTGGCTGGAGTGGAAAAGAATCCTTCAGACTGGGATGGGGAAGTAAAACAGCATCGTAGAACGCCAGATTGAGGAGCAAACTTGAAGCTCCTCATTTTACAGATTAGGAAACTGAGACCCAGATAAATTAAGTAACTTGCCAAGGCTTGGCGTGATGTTTGGGACTAGAGCTCAGTGCACCTGACAGTCCAGTGTTCTCTATCCCTAGTACAAAGGGAGGGGGAGAGAGTTCCAGCTGCCCCAGATGTTAGACTCTAGCAAGAGCAACAAAACTAACCGTTGCAATGTATTCCTTAACTACTCTTTATAGTTCTCTATCCTAGTTCATAATGTATATAAGATTAAGTCTGTTATTTACCCCTCAACTACAAGTGCAATCCTAGTAAATCATTGCTTGCTAAGAAAGCTGTATGTAACTACCTCCTTGAAGACTCTTAAAATACCTTGAGGGACAAGCCTCAGAGCTGTTCCCCTTGGTATTGGTCATGCTAATTAGACACAGAAACCGATACAATTTATTATGATTTTGCAGTTTTACTTCACATAGCTAAACTATTGTGAAGATTGCTCTCTCTCTGCAAAATTTTGATTGTGCTCTGCTCTGCCCAGCCCAGGTGAAATAGTTTTCTCTGTAGCACCCTGATGCCAGTAGTTGACTGATGATCTTCCACATCCTAGGTAGCTAGGTGGTGCTGTAGGTAGCTCACTGGGCCTGGAGTCAGGAAGACTTGAGTTCAAATGCAGCCTCCGACATTTGCTAGCTGTGTGACCCTGGGCAAGTTGTTTAACCCCTGTTTTTCTCAGTTTCCTCATCTATAAAAATGGGTATAATAATGGCATCTACAACAATCCTAGGGTTGTTGTAAGGATCAAATGAGATAATGATTGTAAAGTCCTTAGCACAGTGCCTGGCACTTAGCATCATGTCAATATCAACTATTATTATCCTAAACAGAGATAAGAAGGGTAAACCCTCAGATCCCTCTCACCATCCCTTTGGGGCAAGCCATGCCCTGCAATCCTTGAGAACTGAAACACTGAAATATCTCTAATTCTGAGGTGGTGCAATGGGTAGTGCACCTAAAAGACCTGAGTCCAAATCCTGCTTATTCTTTACTTATTCACCGTGTCACCCTGGGCAAGTCACTGACCCTCCCTCAGCCTCCAATGTTTTCTCATTTGTAAAATGGGGATAGTATTAGCATCTAACTAGGATCCAAAAATAGAACCCATATAAAGCACTTTGCAAACCTTAAAGTGCTATGTAAATGTCAGCCATTAAATGTGACCTTGGTTTATAGAAAAAAGGAAAGCTTGAAAGTCATTTTTGGTGTTAACGCTTTGGCATGCAAACACCCACACATGAATCCACCCTTCCTACTCAATGGCCATCAGTACTGACACCTGCAAGTACCAACCCCTGGGGCTGGCCAGCTCAGATACTTGTCCCCCTACCCCACCTCACCAGCTGATTGCAGTTTTTTCTGACTGGGGAAGCTATCTTTGGTTGCAGAAACCCTTCTGATATCCCTGAGGGATACCAGGTATCTCCCCATCAGCCGTTTGCTTCCTTCCTCCTCTTCCCCCCCACCCCTTGGCAATTCTAAGATTGCAGGCCCCTGTGGTCTCAGATAACTAACTGATGGAGGCCCAGCTCTAGACAGGGGTGGACTTGAAGTGGGCATAGTGGCAAATGCCTGAAATACCTGCTACGGCTGGAGGCTGATGGTTTTCTTGAGCTAGGGGGTTCAGAGCTGCAGTCAGACTAGAGTTGATCTGCTATCCCCACTAAGTCCTTCTGGCACTAATATAGTGAGCTTCCGGGAGCAGAGGCTGCCTAAGGAGGGTCAAACTGGCCCAGGTCAGAAAGGAAGTAGGCCAAAGCTTCTGTGCCAGTAGGAGTGGGATAAGGCCTTTGAGTGTCCAACACACTTCAGCCTTGGTGGGATAGAGCGATACAGTCTCAAAAAAAAAAAAAGACAGAGACCTGTGAAGCATCCCAGAGTAATGATAGCCTCAGGAGTATGGGTTTCACTAGGGAGGAAACCCAAAGCTGGTCAAAAG